TAATATGTGTATATATATATATATATATATATATATATATATATATATACACACCATGCTATGTGTACTGCATTAGGCTAACCGTGACTTGTCATTTGCACTTATATATTGTTGCTCTTTTGTTGGTTTTGATTGCTTCTATTGTCCTCATTTGTAAGTCGCTTTGGATAAAAGCGTCTGCTAAATGACTAAATGTAAATGTCAAATATTCATTCAGAAAAATATACTGGAGGCCATCAAAGTTTAGTGAAAATCATCAAAATCGCTGGCGGTGGCCCCGCCAAAGACGAGTTTTTACGGCTTTTCGTGTTTTCACTGTTATACACTCGGAGCGCTATTACGCATCTTCTGAACGAGTACAAAACCTCCCGAACAAAAACACACGTGAACAGGACGGAGAAACGTGCCATCTTTTATGTAGACAGATGCATATGAAAAATAATGCGATTATCAAAAACAGACAGCATATAAATGAAAACTATATATAAATATATATTTTTAAAAAAAGATAATCGTACTGAATATTATCCAGATGTATCATCAAAATCGCTGGCGGTGGCTGGCAACTTTTTAAAAAAAAATGCTAGAGCTTGTCAACTTCCTGAGAAAACCTATTTAAAAAAACTTTTTTTGCATATAGGAATTTGCATACATTTGTGTGTATATGGGTGCGCCTATACCTCCAGGAATGTTTTGCATGAAAAGCGGACGTACGGCTCACGTGAAACTAGTCATGCACAGGAGCGTCACTAGGGATTCTGGGCCCCTTGTAAAGGTCATTGCATCGCGCACCCCTGAAATCACATTTGTGTGCACTATACAGTGTTGGGGAAAGTTACTTTTAAAAGTAATGCATTACAATATTGTGTTACTTCCTAAAAAAGTAACTAATTACGTTACTTGGCTACTTTTTATTGAAAGTAATGCGTTACGTTACTTTTGCATTACTTTTTAAATCTGGGTAGGGCTTGCTTGTTTGCTTTTAATATAAAAAGTTCTATTTTTGGCAAATATAAAAACTAAATCTGATTTTTGACTGAGATGAATTAATGCATGTTCACATTTATTCTAGAACTAAAGTAACGTCTTAGTCCTGATTTCTCTCAACAAGGGGACAGGAGAGCTTTCAATCAATAAATGGGGGGAAAAAGGTAACTGGCGTTACTTATTTGAAAAAGTAACTCAGATATTTTCTTGTAAATTAAAAAGTAATGCATTACTTTACTAGTTACTTGAAAAAAGTAATCTGATTACGTAACTCGTGTTACTTGTAATGCGTTACCCCCAAAACTGGCACTATATATATATTAAAACTAATATAAATCTCCTACAAGGCCATTTTACTGCAGTATTGAATCATAGCATGGCACCATTATTCAACAGTGTATGATCAGTCATCTGTGCCGTTCCACATCACTGTTAATTGTTTTTTGAGTCGGTATCCTGTAAATCTGATGCATCTCTCACAATTTCATCGTACCTCACTGTATTTGCATCATTTTATGGGTTAAGTGGGCAGGCTTGTGGGTTAGCTCGACCTCACAAAATATGCTACTCATGGTGGCGGCACATCCGGGTATTTCTTGCTCGACAAGGTGTAATACGAGATGTTTGTCCCTGCATCACGCAATGTGCTACCCATGTTGCAATTTTTAAACATGACAGTTTCAACTACTGGTAGACAGATTTCAGCTGGCAATTCGTTCTCAGAGCTGAGTTCTGATTTACTTCACTTGGCAAAATTCATTAAAAAAGAGCTTCTGTATCCACTCTGAATGACCGTTCTGTAAATTGGACTTCTCTGGGGCTTTTTACTGAACTTCTCTGCGTTTGTGCGTCCCAGACAGACAGGTTTCACTTAAACAGCGTTTCCGAGAAATCAAGAGGTTGAAATCCTGTGTCAGACTGGATTTATGGTTTATCATACAGAACTATTATTTCATCGGTTGCACTTTATTTTAAAGTATGTGTACTTACAGTGTACTTACCTAAGAAAGTACTGCAATATAAGGTAACTACATGGGGTATGGTTAGTACCTAGCTATAATAATTACTTGAATAAGTGCATAGTATGTACATGAGGAACAGGTCTGTAAAATAAAGCGCTAACATTTCATCCACCCATTTGTCTTTGCAGATATTATATATACATACATACATAGATGCACTACTGGTCAAAAGTTTTAAATAATTAGGTATTTTTTATGTTTTTTAAGTAGTCTATTGAGAAGCCTCTTAAGAAATCTTAAAGGGGTCATATGATGCGATTTCAATGATGGGTAGATTACTTACAAATTGTAGTATGTTACTGATTACAAATTACATGACAAAAACTATAGTTAGTAACGTAATCCATTACATTACACATTTTAGACCATATTATCAGACTATATTCTGATTACTTTTGACCTAACTCCTTTATCACATTGATTTAAATAAGATAATCTTTTGTCATATTGATATAAAAATACAAAGATAAAGAAAATATATTCCATACGTTGTGATTGTGAACAACATGAAGTGCATTAAAGAGTACATCATCACATCAGGGTTTCCCAAACTGGGATTTATGAGTTTAATGAACAGCTAATAATATATTTTTTTAATTATTCGTTTACCTGCGCCTCTGAGCAACACTGCCCTGTTTAATTTCGGAATGAATCCGCGATGAATCGGTGAACTAATGATTCTTTTGACCTAACTCCTTTATCACATTGATTTAAATAAGATAATCTTGTGTCATATTGATATAAAAATACAAAGAGAAAGAAAATATATTCCATACGTTGTGATTGTGAACAACATGAAGTGCATTAAAGAGTACATCATCACATCAGGGTTTCCCAAACTGGGATTTATGAGTTTAATGAACAGCTAATAATATATTTTTTTAATTATTCGTTTACCTGCGCCTCTGAGCAACACTGCCCTGTTTAATTTCAGAATGAATCCGCGATGAATCGGTGAACTAATGATTAATTGGCCAATTCATGAGAGCCATTTTTCATTCCTGAATGAATCAGCAGTTTGAACAAATCAAATGAATGAATGACTCAAAATCGCATACTCTCATAAGTAGATACTTATTTTGAAACATTCTATATAGTATGAATGTGTGTAGCATGGATGTAATCTGGACGTACTACATTTGCCATGTTGTCATTGTCACATGACCTGCATAAATCCTCTCCCGTGGCCTCATGGGATAGTAAAGTATCCATCTGATGCACACTTCAGAACCACGCCGAAGTAGTAGGTCATACAAATACCTTTTTTTGTGAGTACTGTGTATTCAGACACACTTTTGTCACATACTGATTTTTCGCCAAATATATAGTAGGGAAGCATGCAATTTCAGATGCAGCCCACGGCCTACTCATTAAGACATTTAGTTTCTTCATTTCATATTTACATTTTAATAAAACACCCATTAAAGCAATAATTCATTGATTATTCACCCTCATGTCATATCAAACGTGTATGACTTTTTTCTTTTGTGGAACATGAAGCTATTTTGAAGAACGTTGGTAACGAAACCGTTTCAGAGGAAAAAGTCTTTCAGGTATGAAACGCCATGAGGGTGAATAATTAATTATTGACAGAATTTCTCATTTTTGGGTGACCAACGCCTTTAATACCTATTTATCTCATGGCATTATTTATGCAATTTTAATTGCAGTGTAAATGCATCCATGCCACATCTGAGCTGCAATAAACTGCCTGTAAATATTTCTAAATATCAATTCAGATGCAGCTTCTGACAAAAAAAAAAATCTAAATACTTCTAAAACTATATATATATATATATATATATATGAAACAACATACAGAACTACCAAATTATGCTACAAGTTTGATTGCAACATATAATAATTGCTGTTAATAGTATTCATAGTCTGTTTGATTACATCTTTAATTGATTTTTCCATACATTTCTGCCATATGTACATTTACTGACAGTCACCACTGATAAGCTACCACTAAATATAATGTAGAAACATATATTGTACAGCTGCTTTGCAACTATTTGTATTGTGAAAAGCACTATACAAATAAACTTGAATTGAATACATATATAGTCCCTAAACAGCTCCTCAAAAGGCAGACAAAGAAACATGACTTTATATTTAGACATTTTAATTGCAAACCATACAAGAATATAAAATAAACACTGAAGAACAGGACAATAATTTATGCATTATATGAACACAATGAGATTTCTGACATGACACGATACTCCAGCTTAATCTGCCAAGAAATGTTAAGCAAGGGGTAAATGGCAACACTCCAAATAACAGAGAAATCCCCTACACACAGAGTGGCTCAGCACTGAGTCCCGGCTGGAACTCATGTACGTTCTCGAGGCGTCTGATCGTGTCTGTGTTTGCAGACTCGAGGCACTGCGGCTAGAGCCGAGCTCAAGATCAGTCCACTTCAGTCAGGCCACACGGCCGTCTGAACTCCTGACCTCTCTCATGGATCCACTTGTTTGAAACTGCCAAACGAGAGGACGAGACAGGAACGGACATTCAATGCTTTTAAAACAACCTACTTCTTATGCCATGTTCATTTCAACAGGAGTAGTAGTTCTCTCTCATAAGAACGTGGGATTCATGCAATTAATGCAACTAGTCAAGGCATCAGCATGAGTCTGTATTTAGTTCACTTACCCCATTTACTGCCTACTAGAACAGGACAGGCTGCATGTCTGGTTCTGTAGTCTCCTTCTCCACTCTTAAAGAGGTTGTACCAGAACACCGCTGTTCCCTACAAGAGAGACCAGGAGCTTTTTTTAAATAAATGCTACATCTGAAAAATAACTATAGTTTAAGGAGCAATTCTCACTCTTAACTAGCGTGCATATTGGCTGTATATTAGTACTTATAAAGCATGTATTAATGCCTTATTCTGCATGATCATATTTTAGATCCCTTAACCTAAACTTATCAACAACCATACTAATGATTAATAAGCAGCAAATTAGGAGTTTGAGGCAAAAGTTATAGTTAATAGTGGACCTTAAAATAATCTGTGACCTAACTAAATTACCAATTTAACACTACAAGTCGATTTAAAACTTGATGTTGATACCAATATTTACATATCAGGGTGATCAATGGGATACAATTAACAATAAAATACTGATTACACTGTATCTACTACATATGATATACAGCATTGAGCTACAATATGTAACAAAAAGTGATTATTGCAGTACCATCATCACTGATGTATTGATTTCATACATGTTTTATTATGAAATGTTTAAAAAGGTTGTCCGTACCTTTCTAGGCCAAATAGCGGCTCCAAAATCAGGGAAAACAGTCGCCCCACCAGCCTCAACATCACTCATCTGTAATGAAGAAAGATTATTAACATCCGTCTTTCAGTACAACATGGTATGATCAGCGCTTCACATTTTTGCTGAAGAAAATCCTAAAAAAACTACAACAAAATGACTATATAATCCAGAATATGGGTGTAATGTTTAAAAACCTGGACTTCTAATGCAAAATTCTGTCCAAAAAAAGGTAAATTAGAAACAGAAGTGATACTTTTTTTGTAAATATATTATATTTAGCAGTACCCAGAGGTCATGACATGTCTGGTGCCATTTACTTTTTAAGCTATATATTTCTCCTGTTTTTAAGTAGAGAGGGAGTCTTTTTTTTTTATCATTGTTGTCATTTTAATGTACTATGAAACACTCTGGATTAAATGTATGTGCTCAAGAGTGATATAATATTGCCACAAAATGCCTTAAAAGTGCTGCAAAAGTGTAGCGCAGTGGTTCACAAGCTTTTTGACTCCATGATGCCTATATTATTTAGTTAAATCATTTCTACTGACTTTTCCAGGGCTATAAATCACTTTTAAAAAGTGGCCACCTCATATATCCAGGTTTTCCGGGACAGTGTAAATCCTGGTTCTTCAATGGAAGCAGTTGTTGAGGGAGTGAATTCTAATTAGAACTGTATATTTTGAGTTGGTTGGCTTCTTTTAAAGCTTATTTAGTCTTATTTGTACCACTGGTGTAGTGTTGATGTGGATTCATGACGAGACCTGATGCCAGGCACCACGGGATACACATACTTACATAATTTAAAAAAGTAGCCACACGATTTCCAGTGCCTAATGATACGAAAGCATCAGGTTCATCTTTCTATGAAGATAAAATTTTAGAGTAAAGACAGGCAGAGAGGCAGAAGCACAACACGTGTACTTACGTAGTTCAGAAAGGTGGCAAGTCTATTTCCATCAACCTTGAGGTTGCCGTCAAAAGGACGCTGCAACAGATGTTTGTAAGTGCAGCCGTGAATATCTCCGCCTCTGAGGCAACGTTACTTTATCTTCAATATGACAACATAAGAGCTGAGTGTTGGGCGTTAAATCAATTTACAAACATGTACTCAATTTAAAATCATTTTCTAAGGAGAAAACTTTGGCTCCAGTGGTTTATAAAGTGCCTAATGCATTCCCATTATCATCATTAATAAAAATCCCTATGACATTATAAGGAAATGTATTACCACCAGCAATAAAAATGCTGCTATTCCAACCTTTTACACTAGGGGGTGTTTACACGACATCAATTTCAACTAAAAACTGAAACTTTATGCATTCTGGCCATTCATTTTTACACAACAGCAGCGTTTTGGGGGCCTGAAAATGCTTATCTTGAATTTTTGAAAACGATAGCATTTGTCATCTCTGCGTAAACTACAAAAATGCAGTGCAAAAATATAGTGTTTCTTTACAAAGTGACATCGCCAACTACTGGCCTGGCGTGAATAATAGAGTGGTTTCAGTCATATTCGTGGATCCGTGTGAACGGGGATCATTTAGACAACATTGGCATCTGCATGCAAACTTTTCAAAAATGCGAAATGGGAAAAACCTGTTTTCAGTACACATTGTCGTGTAAACATACCCTTGGACACATTTTAAAATAGGATTTTTGCCATCAAGTGACACACTATACCCCATTATTAAATAGAATAAAACTTTCAATAATTACTACTTCTTTATTTTGGCCTTACCCACTTCCATGCTTCAATAATCCTTTTTTTAAATAACTGACGTGTGGAGATATCACCGACTCTATACTAATGATTTCAATTATATTACATGATATTATTATTGTCAGGAAATTTTACAGACAAAATATGGAAAAGGTTGAGAAATTGATATTGCGTGTCAACCGACAGTAAAAACACCCACTGATATAATTTTTCTTAATCATCAGAGAAACATCAATATGACATTGCATTGTTTTTAAATGAAAACTGTCACTAATATCTCTTCCTGCACATGCCGCTGATTGCTCTGGTGTGAAATATCATGCACATAACTGAAAGAATGATGCAGTTCTTGCACTAAGCTCTTACCCTTGAGAAATCATAATGTGGTTCATATTGACCTCCAACACCATAGTTAGCCACCTACGATTGAACAGAAGTTATAAGAAAACCCTTTTCACACAAATTCAGTTTCAGAATCAAAGACACAAATCCCATGAGCATTGTGTGCGAAGTAAATCACGTGGATCAAAAATCTGCAACTTTATAATAAGAACCAAGTCTCACTATTAACTAGCATGCATATTACTAGCATATCTGCTGTTGTTTATTAGTACTTATTAGACATATTACTAATAAACAGCAGAAAAGCACATATTAGCACCTTATTCTGCATGATCATATTTTAGATCCACCCCATATCTAAACTGAACAACTACCTTACTATTAATATGCAGCAAATTAGACATTTATTAGGGCAAAAGTCATAGCTAATAGTTAGGTAATAGTGAGAATTGATCCCCAGACTAATTAAATATTATTTTTTAAATACTGGGCATGGGGATATGACTGTATGTTAATAATAATTCAAATTGATAATTGACAAATATTTTCTACACAATTTTATTGCTGTTATTATAACGTGTATTACTCTATATACACTATTCCATATTATATTATAATATGGAATATGGTCTCTAAAATCTATATTATATTTAGTGCTGTCAAACGATTAATCGCATCCAAAATAAACATTTTTGTTTATATATGTATGTGTGCTGTGTATATTTATTGTGTATATATAAATACACACACATGCATTATATATTTTGAAAATATTTACATGTATATATTTATATTCATAATTTATATTGTATATAAATATATTTAATATATAAACCTAACATATTTTTCTGAAATATATATACACATGCATGTTTGTGTATTTATAAATACATAATAAATGTACACAGTACACACACATATATTATATAAACAAACACTTTTATTTTGGATGCGATTAATCGCGATTAATCGTTTGACAGCACTACTTATATTATTAATTTCTTCTAAACTTCTTAAATGTAAATCACATTATAATGTAACGATTCCTTTTAATTTTTTGGGAAACAAAGTACTGCACAACAGATGTTTACTGTTACTAGAAAATTGTGATTATTTCTGAAATTGAGTTTTAATAATGGCATTATTATTCATTTGAGAAGTACATTCTACTGTATTATATTATACTATACAATATGTGAGCCTGCAGCACAAAAGCAGTGTTGAGTCGCTGGGGGATATTTGTAGCAATAGCCAACAATACATTGTATGGGTCACAATTATAGATTTTTCTTTTATGCCAAAAATCATTAGGATATTAAGTAAAGATCATGTTCCATGAAGATATTTTGTAAATCTCCTACCGTAAATATATCAAAACTTAATGTTTGATTAGTAATATGCATAGCTAAGAACTTCATTTGAACAACTTTAAAGATGATTTTCTCAATATTTTGATTTTTTTGCACCCTCAGATTCCAGATTTTCTAATAGTTGCATCTCAGCCAAATATTGTCCGATCCTAACAAACCACACATCAATGGAAAGCTTATTTATTCAGCTTTCAGATGATGCATAAATCTAAATTTCGAAAAATTGACACTTATGACTGGTTTTGTGCTCCAGGGTCACATTTTATATTACATTACATTATATCATATTAAGTAGCGTGAGACTAAAGCCTATGGAGACCACAGCTTGTGTGTGTGATGTTCTGGAGTATTTAGGATGAGTGACCTGTAGAAGTTCTGCAGTGTCTACAGATAATCCAGTGATGTCCTCTATTCTCTGATTGACCCGCGCGATCACTGGATCGTCTTCCCCTTCTAACCACGCGCTGCAGACACACCAGAAAACAATGACAAAATTCTGTTCAACAGCTGCATTACAATATCAAAGGAGTACACTTATTAATGCATTACCTACGGGTGAGAGCTATGACCAAATCACAGAATGAAACCATTTACATCACAGTAAAGGCATATCATAATATACGTATTTTGCTGGAAATTCAATGAAATGATCAAGAGCGATGTTGTTCTATATATTAGCAATTAGGAAAAAGATTTCTTGTCCACCAATATTCATGCATATATATCTACGGTCATGTACTTTATAATGCAAATACAATGCAGCTCAGCCCTTATGTTCTTATCAAGCCAGACATGAACACTATTAATGAACGGCTGTGTATGAGATGTGCTCACCTTTTGGAAACTCGGTAATGTGCGACCGTCAGAACGCCTGTCTTTGGGTCTCTCACTGTGGCTCTCGCAAGCTACAGAGAACAACTCAAAATTTAGCTTTGCAAAAATAATCTGTCACTACTTTTGTTTCACAGCAACTTTAATCTATAAGCTATCAGCTAATGCCTTATATGAGGTTCAGTGGATTTTTAGCTTAGTGGGGTTATTAGGAAATCAATGCTGCTGTTCCCTTTAAGCCCAAATGTCAAAAGAAAAATTACATTTATGGATTACACTTACAGACAGAAAATAAAATTTGTTTGTAAACAGTTTTCCTTTGTCAATTGTTTTCATGCATTTTATTTTATTTTACAGCATCTTGTTTATCTCTGTGATGTGCTCACTGAAACAAATGCATGCAATTAATTTTTCTTAATCTTAAAATATTTAACATTTTAATTTTATTGTAATTTTAATATTTAAAATATTAAAAACATACCGATAAAAAATGTATAGCCTGAATGCACTGTAAATCGCTTTGGATAAAAGCATCTGCTAAATGCATACATTTAATTTAATTTAATTTTAAATTCTTATCAACACTAAGCCTGCTTTTTCCAAACAGCCTCTTTTGAGGCTGCGACTATTACAGCACATTATAAATAATAATTCAAGAACAAAAGATTTAGTTGGCACCAAATAAAAAAAGTAAGAAATAAAAGCACAAATAGGGTTATATGGTATGCGATTATTTAAGTTTTTTTGAATTTATGGGTGAACTACTCATGCATATTAGGGCTGTCAAAATTTTTTTTGAATTTTGAATATTCGTCGAATTTAAAATAAAAATGCAAAAACATTGCATTTGAATTTTAGGTGTGCATCAGGCAGCCTTATCAGCGGCGCACGAGATGCGATGACGATGTAAGTGTCACTGCATTTTAATGTTTTTGTTAGTCTATCCACTCGAAGCCACTAGATGCGGCACTGCTGCGTTGTTAATTACAAATATCACGGGAAAAGAGAACATCAATGCGGAGAAGATCTTGTTTACGTCAAAACTGAAACCAAGCCGTTCACACAGAACGCATATTTCGTGCATTTTCTAGAGGGACATCTATCACCGCTGCACTCGCGTCTCGCACAAAAGAGCCGCATGTTTAGAAAGCCATGTAAAATTAATGCAAGTTCAACTTTGAAAAAACATATCTCGAGACTTTATGGCGGGGTTATTTTCCCCATCCCACTGCAACTGGTGTTTTTAAATGAAAAATGTACTGTGTGATTGGCTTTCGGCCCTGTGTATTAAACTATGAATACATACATGATGCTGTTTTGTTTATAGTTGATTAAGCAACTTAATTATAATTGGTTTATTAACATTATTTTAAACATTATGCACATTTTTCACAGATAGTAATGTTATCTTATGCTTTGAATAAACGTGCATTAGTAATATTTTCCTCGATGCGCCCTCTTGTGGCCTCAGGAGAGAAGCCAAAAGCGTTTCTTCACCCTTACTGAAATTATGCATTTTAAATTCGTAAAAATTTAGTTTTTCAGTCATTTTGACAGCCCTAATGCCTATATACTGTCCATGTATCTGTCTAGGGTTTGCACACTCACATTAGGTTTGGCCAGCTCCTTGATCTTCTCTATCTCTTCATCGGAGAGGGCCTCCAGATAGCGAACGATATGAGGACTGTCCCACTCGTCCTCCTCCTTCATCGGCTTGAGCAGCAGACGCGGGCTCCTGTTGCCATCCTGATAGCGGCAGAACAGTCGGCTGCGCCTCTTTTGAGTCTGTAGGGAAATTAAGAGAAATAACTTAACTTTTTTATAACAGTCTACCTTATTTAGGAAGATTTTTATATTTACATGTGTGACCCTGGAGCACAAAACCAGTCATAAGTGTAAATTTTTCTAAATTGAGATTTATACATCATCTGAATAAATAAGCTTTCCATTGATGTATGGTTTGTTAGGATCGGACAATATTTGTAAATCTGGAATCTGAGGGTGCAAAAAAATCTAAATATTGAGAAAATCATCTTTAAAGTTGTTCAAATGAAGTTCTTAGCAATGCATATTACTAATCAAACATTAAGTTTTGATATATTTACGGTAGGAAATGTACAAAATATCTTCAAGGAACATGATCTTTACTTAATATACTGATGATTTTTGGCATAAAAGAAAAATCTATAATTTTGACTCATACAATGTATTGTTGGCTATTGCTACAAATATCCCCCAGCGACTTAACACTGCTTTTGTGCTGCAGGTTCACAAATATGTATTTATTTAGATAAATGTTGCAAACACTCATCTAAAACCAACATTAAAATACACAACGATTCGAAACTACAGCCACAAGACTTAAACATTATGCGTGTTAACATGTTAGTGCGATTAATCTAAATCTTGGTCCCCTTCACACTGTCTGCATAAGAAACATTTATATTGTTTACATTACTATAAAAGTTTGGAATAATTAAGATTTTTTTCATGCATTTTAAAGATGTCCCTCATGCTCACAGAGGATGCATTTATTTGATCAAAAATACTGGAAAAACTATGACGGCTTACGTCTTTGTTCGGAAAGGTTCTGTAACAAAACACCGTAAGATGGACCATAAATGACCTCCCATATCTTCTTTTTATTATCTCTCTATTCTTTAAAAATAATTGTAGACTAGTTTGTCGGGGGCTCAACAGTTGTGTAGTTAATGGAAAGAGTGTTCTAATGTTCCAGGGCTGGTTTACTGCCTTCTTGTATTTTTCTTTTCCTTTATTCTGTTTTTATTTTTATGGATACTCAATTTGTTGTTGTGATGTTTTTGGTTGTTGCCAGAGATAGGGAACTTAGAAACTTAGCTGTGTAGCAGCTCACAGGTGCAGTGTTCATCCTTTTATACTGTATTGAATCCAATATAATCTTCCTTCAAGAGACACATTTACTCAATTCAGATCATCTTAGGTTGCAGAAACCATGGGTTGGACACATTTATCATTCTAAATGTAATGCCAAGGCAAGAGGAACAGCTATAATACATAAAAACATTCAGTTTTCAGCTTCTAATGCTATTGCTGATCCTCAGGGTCTTTATATTATAGTGCCAGGGCCAGGTCTTGCTAGTGAATATTTATGGCCCCAATTGGGATGATAAGAAATCTGTAAATAAACTGATCACGGCTTTACCCAGCTTCAATTCACATTATTTGATTTTAGGCGGTGACCTGACTCGCATGTTTTGGATGCGTCCTACACTTACGGCGTACTGGTCAATCATATTCGATACACTTTCTAAAGTGTGTGAAGTACAGCTGAAGCCATGTGCCGAATTTGCAATATTTGGTGTTCCAGGTGATGAATCGAGTCTGACTCAAAGACAACGAAAGATTATTCCCTTTGCATCCTTATTGGCTCGCAGACGAGTTTTATTACATTGGAAATCTACAAATCCGCCTAAAAAGCATCCCACTGGCTTCAGGATTTGATGTTATACTTACACTTGGAAAAGATTAAATATACAATTACAGGTTCCCATAAATTATCTTATGTCTGGCAACCCTTATTATCATATATCTCGGATATAAATGCACTTCGTGGGGAGTAATGGGATTTATATTGTTATTGCAATTTCTTCTTATTCTCACCCCTCCCTTATGTAGGGTCTATGTTGTTCATCACTGTATTATACCTGCTTGTAGTATCCAATTACTTTTTTTTGTCTATTAAATATCTTTACGGTCACTTTTGATCAATTTAATCAATGGATGCTTTTTTTTTAAAAACTATAAATGGCAGTGTATTACAGTTTCCACAAAATTAATAAACAGAAAAAAAAACAGTTTCCAACATTGATAATAAATCAGCATATTAGAATGATTTCTGAAGATCATGTGACACTGAAGACTGGAGTAATGATGCTGAAAATACAGCTTTGATCACAGGAATAAATTACATTTTAAAATATATTCACATTGAAAACAGTTATTCTGAAGAGTAATAATATTTCACAATTTTTACTCCATGTTTAATTAAATAAATACAGCCTGTGAGCAGAAGAGACTTCTTTAAAAACATAAAAAATATCCTAAATATTCCAAACTTTTGACCAGCAGTGTACAATATAATCAAAGTCTGAAATGAGAGACACTGTAAAAGACTCAAAATAATAAGGCTTGCAAAAGCAATAAAGTGAGAATGGCAAATAATTCCCTCGTTGTGCGTTTGGGATATAACTTAAGCTGCGCTCACCATCTTGACTCCCTCTCCCCTGCAGAGGGCCTCGTACACCTCTCTCTCGGGCAGGTAGTCTTTGGGCCGCTCATAAGTGTCCAGCTGAATGGGCCTCTCGTCGGCGGGCTCCTGCTGGCTCTGACCCCGGGCCCTCAGCTCCTTAGACAGCAGCTGCTCAAAGTAGCGCAGGTTTGTTCCTGCCCTCTGGTGGCTGGGATCTGCAAGTGCACGCACAGCACAGGACATGCAATTCACCGGTTGAGAAATACAGCAACAACAACAACAAAAACGCATCAGATATTTTTCTTGGATTCCATGTAATATATATGGGCCACTCTACAGAACTGATTCAACGTCAGAGTTGGAAACATCTTGAAAAAACTGTCTTTTTCCACAAATTGTGTATGTATGCAAAGGTACACATTTCTAGTAATAGTGCAGTTAATTCTCATATGTGAGCCTGCAGCACAAAAGCAGTGTTAAGTCGCTGGGGGATATTTGTAGCAATAGCCAACAATACATTGTATGGGTCACAATTATACATTTCTCTTTTATGCCAAAAATCATTAGGATATTAAGTAAAGATCATGTTCCATGAAGATACTTTATAAATTTCCTACCGTAAATACATCAAAACTTAATTTGATTAGTAATATGCATTGCTAAGAACTTCATTTGGACAACTTTAAAGATGATTTTCTCAATATTTAGATTTTTTTGCACCCTCAGATTCCAGATTTTCAAATAGTTGTATCTCAGCCAAATATTGTCTGATCCTAACAAACCACACATCAATGGAAATCTTATTTATTCTCCATTTCGAAAAATTGACCCTTTGATTTTTGGCATAAAAGAACAAATATATAATTGTTGGCTATTGCTACAAACATACCCAAGCGACTTAAAACTAGTTTTGTGCTCCAGGGTCACATATGAGAGTTTCATGTGACTTTATGTGGCTATTATATTTCCTAATGGCTGCTCCCTTCTCGTCCTCATCATCAGGGAAATACTGTCTGTGCACAGACATGTTTGATATGAAGCCTTCAGAAAAGAAAAGAAACAAATATGAGCGTTTTATTACACACACATATACATATATATATATATATATATATATATAGTCAAATTGGGTTAAACTGGCGTGGCTTTCTCAAAATGGAAAGCACAGGGCATATCCACAAGTCTTTTAAAATAGTTCAGCATTTAAAGACCTCACGATTCGGATTCAGGAAGTCACAGTCTGATTCCAACATGATTTCTGAGGCATCGCAATTTTTTTGCAAATCTCCAGAGGGAATTTTCAGTGAATTAAGGTAGCTTGTTCCAAAGATTCTGAGGGCATATATGTCCTACTAAAATCTGCTTTCTCTACAACAGACCTGAAATAGGAATACTGAAATAGTTATGATAACTTGTGGATCATTCAATCAGAGCTATTCGATATTTCATCAGGTCACAGTACATCAAGAGCAATATTTATCAAATCATTTAACTTGAGGCAAATAGCATTAGCATACTGTTAAAAACCTAAAACCTTAAGAGCAAGCCAACACAAACTAAACTCCCGAATGCTTCTGAAGTGAGTGCATGGGCGATGACCTTATCTTCTAGAAAAGTTTCTGTCCTCCTCCAGATTTGCTGCAGTAGAACATCAGCAGAACTCTACAATATAGAACTCTAGTAAAACAATCCATACCTTCAGCTGCATTTAGACACTGATGCATGCCGTGATAAACACACTAAGGTCATATTGATAGCCTATTAGATTAGTAAAAGTGCACCTGCAAAAAGAAAAACACACTTCCGAGACAAAAATTCAGAAATCAATCTAAAAACAGACAGCTACTAGCCTATTCGGGAATAAAAAACCATTTAAAACAATGTAACGTGCTACGTTTATTTTAATACAAGTTTCACATTTACAAAAACACTAATTTACAACTTAAATTTTACCGACAGCAAAAATGCTGCATCAAACCTGAACGCAAAGCAAGCAACTCATTGCAATAGTCTGTTAAAAAAACAAACATTGTAGCAACAAGAGTTATTTAAAGGTCAGATGTCAAAGGCAAAAGTCACTATGTTGCATGGCACGCACGCACAACTGTTACAAAGTCACACAGTCGACTAACATAAAAGCTAAATGTTTCACCTATAAGAGCTGTTACCTCGGTTCGCGTTGAAAGAGTGACCGTGTGATGGGACAGACCAGCACAAGCAGTTTATTTCAGCTGTTATGCGGTGGTTTTAGTCGCTGCCACGTACAGAAGAAGAGCCTCGAACCCTTTCCACAGGCGCTCACAATCCTCGTAATAAACGCGCACTCACATTCCCCAGCTCCATGATGAGCGGCTGTCTCAGAGAAAAGCGTTTCACAAACAGCCTGACAGCGTCGAATATTACGTAACATCAGCTGAGCTATACTTGAGTACAACCTATCTGCATATTAAAAAGTCAATACCTCTTAAATGGCATCGAAGAACAACGTGTAAACGCCGATGAAGGAGCGATGAGTCTGCGTCGCCATGCATATAAGCCCCGATCATGTGAACTTACTGACTTGATCCTCTTGTGTTCAAAGCATATGCATGTTGCTGGAGCCTAATCGAGGCATTTAATTAATTTAGAGGTTTACTCCCCGCATCCGAGATCGATACGACACAAAAATCAGCCTGTACACTGTGATTTACGGTAAAACGAGACATGACGGACTGCACGTTCTCTCTAGACTCGCAGCTCTGCTGAATCATTCATGTCTGTCAAATCATGGAAATAAGAATTACTATATGTCAGCATCATGTAGCTACACGAGAGTTAAGTTGTCACAAATACAGGGCTGTGTCTCAGTGCTAGAAAAAAAAAATCTACATTAAAAAAAATGGGTTTGGAATCTTTTGAGGCCATTTCCTCAAAAACATGTTTAAGCACTGTTTAAATCAGCTTATCTCTGCAACAGTTTGGAGCAGTCATAATAGCAATTCTCAGAAGACAGAGAGTTTACCTCATCATTCTGTGCATAAAACTCAAAGTGTGTTTCTGGGTCAGAATGACTCTAAATCAGGGGTGCCCAAACTGGGTCCTGGAGGGCCGGTGTCCTGCAGAGTTTAGCTCCGACCCTAATCAAACACACCTGAAGCAGCTAATCAAGCTCTTACTAGGCATACTAGAAACTTCCAGGCAGGTGTGTTGAGGCAAGTTGGAGCAAAACTCTGCAGGACACCGGCCCTCCAGCACCGAGTTTGGGCACCCCTGCTCTAAAATGATGGAGCTGGTCACATGTCATGACTTAACTGCACTTAACTGTACAAGTCTGAGGAGCAGTGCTGATCCAGTTTGAGTCCAGTTTGTCTCTGTTTGCGTGGTTCAGAAAGACTGTCAGCAGTTGAAGGCCAATTGACTTGGCGTGATGAGCACAGATGCTTTCCTTTACGAAAAATAACCATGTTTTTATTACAGTAAAAGTGTAGTAACCATGTTTTTTTGATTCTACAGATTTCCATAGAGCATTCAACTGAACAGAAAGTCTGATGAGAGGCTGAATTGCAGAATGATGTAATCAAAATTCTTAATCCATATTTCTGGTAGAGAGAGAATGCAAATTTTGAACTCATATACAGTGTTAATACTAATAGTGTCAATTAACTGAAAGATTGAACAATCGTTTTCTAAACAGAAATAATCAAATGTTATTTTTCAACAAGACAATGCTCCGGCCCACACTGCAAAGACCACCAAGACGCGGCTTGAGAACAAGTCCATCTGGTTCATGTTTCGGGTCCAGATTTTAATGCTATATAGATTATCTGGGTCCAATACTCACGCTTGCGGTCTCTGCATTTGACCACTTCTCTACTTGATGTATTTCCCGTATTTGGCCCAAGTTTTCAAGTGGATATGAAGACTGAACGTGTGCAGAGCTATTGGACATTTTCTGTGCACGTGTTGATTTTCGATATTTTGCACTTTAAAATAAACCTCCAAATGTCTGTTCAGTAACCCTTATGTAATAGACGACACAATTTAATTGGGGTGTTTTTAATTAAGTGATAAAAGGCAGTTGCAAACATTTTACAAAATACCCATACTCTGCACCAATAAAACGTGCAACCTATGTTTTACTACCAAATTATATGTAATATCTAATTAATTTGACTTACAATATGGCTCTGAAGTGCTATAGTGTGGATTTAGTGTGCTTTTGAGCTTTGGCAGTTTTCAGACCTGGGACACTTCTTGTCCCATGTGTGCACTGTCAAGTGGCCAAGACTGCGAGTGTGGGTATTGGGACAAACCCCTGGTCTCACATTAAACTCACACTAACCGGCAACTACTCATCAACCGATAGAAGCCAGTGATTTGAACACCCTTAACGGCTTACTGTTTTTGGCCATTTTTGGCACCTTTTGTAAGACCTTTACAGGCTTCTTTTTAAAGTAAACCCATCCTGGTTTGTGGACCCAGCCACTTTTTACCAAGGAGAAGAGTCATTTTCGCAGGATCCATCAAAACTCTGCAGGACACCGGCCCTCCAGCACCGAGTTTGGGCACCCCTGCTCTAAAATGATGGAGCTGGTCACATGTCATGACTTAACTGCACTTAACTGTACAAGTCTGAGGAGCAGTGCTGATCCAGTTTGAGTCCAGTTTGTCTCTGTTTGCGTGGTTCAGAAAGACTGTCAGCAGTTGAAGGCCAATTGACTTGGCGTGATGAGCACAGATGCTTTCCTTTACGAAAAATAACCATGTTTTTATTACAGTAAAAGTGTAGTAACCATGTTTTTTTGATTCTACAGATTTCCATAGAGCATTCAACTGAACAGAAAGTCTGATGAGAGGCTGAATTGCAGAATGATGTAATCAAAATTCTTAATCCATATTTCTGGTAGAGAGAGAATGCAAATTTTGAACTCATATACAGTGTTAATACTAATAGTGTCAATTAACTGAAAGATTGAACAATTGTTTTCTAAACAGAAATAATCAAATGTTATTTTTCAACAAGACAATGCTCCGGCCCACACTGCAAAGACCACCAAGATGCGGCTTGAGAACAAGTCCATCTGGTTCATGTTTCGGGTCCAGATTTTAATGCTATATATAGATTATCTGGGTCCAATACTCACGCTTGCGGTCTCTGCATTTGACCACTTCTCTACTTGATGTATTTCCCGTATTTGGCCCAAGTTTTCAAGTGGATATGAAGACTGAACGTGTGCAGAGCTATTGGACATTTTCTGTGCACGTGTTGATTTTCGATATTTTGCACTTTAAAATAAACCTCCAAATGTCTGTTCAGTAACCCTTATGTAATAGACGACACAATTTAATTGGGGTGTTTTTAATTAAGTGATAAAAGGCAGTTGCAAACATTTTACAAAATACCCATACTCTGCACCAATAAAACGTGCAACCTATGTTTTACTACCAAATTATATGTAATATCTAATTAATTTGACTTACAATATGGCTCTGAAGTGCTATAGTGTGGATTTAGTGTGCTTTTGAGCTTTGGCAGTTTTCAGACCTGGGACACTTCTTGTCCCATGTGTGCACTGTCAAGTGGCCAAGACTGCGAGTGTGGGTATTGGGACAAACCCCTGGTCTCACATTAAACTCACACTAACCGGCAACTACTCATCAACCGATAGAAGCCAGTGATTTGAACACCCTTAACGGCTTACTGTTTTTGGCCATTTTTGGCACCTTTTGTAAGACCTTTACAGGCTTCTTTTTAAAGTAAACCCATCCTGGTTTGTGGACCCAGCCACTTTTTACCAAGGAGAAGAGTCATTTTCGCAGGATCCATCACTAGAATGTGAATCCCTGAATCCCTATTTTATATGATCTGTCAGTGCTCTTATTACCAGTTTTATTATGTGTTATCACAGACCTTACCACAAGGCTGCTCTGTCTATTCTAATGTTTAGTATCCATTTTCTCTGCTACAAAGTTGTATGTGAAAGGGGAAGATATAGTCTTGTCAATTACCCGAGTAATTAAGAAAATACAGTACTGGGCAAATATTCTGTGGACAGAAGGATACTGGTAGCCTATGCATTTTTAATTAACATGGTGTGCTTGATGGATGAGCAACAAGCCAGTCACTATTTAACACAGAAACCAGTTAAATCATAACTAGGCAAGACCGTCTGGTCAAAAATGCTCCTTTCTGTCACAGCTAGGCTAAAGCTCCGCTTTATTGCATAATTGCTCAAGCCACATTTTTCTCTCTGAAATTAAAATAAAAGGTATAATCGCATGTACTACAGTGGGAGAACCACTGCATACACCTGAGGTTCTCTCTATCCATTCTGGGTTTTTTATCATTTTGATGATGCTCTCACTTATAGTTTGTTGATGTTTTCAGTATCTGCTTTCAGGTGATCAAGTTTAATTTTTAGTCAAATTAGTACAAGAATCCATAGTGAGTATCAAACTCATCTGGACAGGAGGAGTCTATGAGCTGTTTTACATTTCCCCCTGCATTTCCCTTGAGCCAGTATTTAACATCTCGTAAGATGTGGTTGCAGCTGAACACAACCTTTATATTTGTAAAGGTTTTTTTTTAAGCACCTACAATCCATCTCCTGTTGTCCTCACATCAAAATCCACCCACATATTTAACTAGAGCCGTTTTGGCTTGTAAACTGTGCTTGATCTGTGCATGTTTCTCTCCTGATTCAGACCACTTTTTCACCGGAGGAAGCGCTATTACAGTTATGGACTTGTATTTTAGCAATGGTTTGAAGTTAAAAAGGTATTAATGATGGATTTGTATCTTTTGTCTTCTCCAGATGTTAACTGATGGACTGGAGTGCTGTGGATTACTTGTGATGTTTCTATAAGCTGTTTGGACGCTCATTCTGACGGCACCCATTCACTGCAGAGCACCCATTCCTGAGCAAGTGATCTGTTCCAGATGAAGTTCAAAATCAATCAAATCAAAATCAATCATTTCAACGAAGATTCTAAATATTGGATAGCCAGAGAGAGTGAGCATATTTTAAGCAAATTTGATATACCTTTCAGCTAAAATTCCTAGGAACTCTTAGGAGGACTCCAAGTGGTAAGAAACTTGTAAAATGTGAAACACGGTAGGTACCTTAAAGAGATGCAGTATTTCTACTTAGTGGTGGTGGTGCAACTTAATGTAGTCAGACTGGTTTGTATATTTTTGGTTTAAATAAATCTAGTTAAAAGAACAATTTAGGTTGACTAACATCTTTAAGGTGCACTTTTCATATAAAAAGACACAGTCAAGAAAAAAATGAAACATGGCTTTGTCAAGGCCATTTGTCCTGCACAAGCTCTTTATGAAAATTCCAGTGCAGGGTATTTTAATCAGATTAAAACTTCATTATTGTTGTGTGAGTGTGAGTGTGTGTGTGTGTGTGTGTGTGTGTGAGTGTGTGTGTATGTGTGT